CAAGGCCCACGGATGAAAACTTTCATGATTTTGAAAATTGAAATGCTACATCAAGTCATATTTTCTTGGGCTGTAACTTATTCATTGCCTATCTTTGTGTCTAAACTGGCTACCACATGGAACCTTAGGGAAGTGTTAACAGAAAGCATCTACCATCCCACAGGCCAAGAAGGTCATCAGAGAGTGCCTGCAATATGTAGCAAAGGCTTCCTGCCTTCCTGGAACTTGACTGCCCAATGGTCCCACCAATGTAATTTACTCACCTTGCTTTTTGACTTTCTTTTGTTATGTAGTTAAAGAAGTTCATATAACTATCACCACCATGCTAGAACATTGTTTGGGGGGGGGCAGCACGTATCTTTGTTCCTGGGCCGTGATTACTCATTTGTACCTCCAAAACAAAGTATTTGCCATGGTCACTCATTTGTGCCTCCAGAATAAAGTATTCCTTGTTCTCTTTGAGGTGAGAGCTAGAATTTTGTGTCAATGGGATTTTATTTTTCATTCATAAATTCATACACATATATATATATTGAGTTTTGTCCATTTTACCCTCATCTACACTCTCCATCCTGTCTCCACACCCTCTCTTCTCATCCTTTATCCTCACCCTCTTTATTTCCCAACAGTCCCTCTACAAATCTGAGGTAATTTTTAAACCTATAAGTTCCCCAGTGAGTGTGGAGGCTTCATGTGTCCTCCCTGTGTGTGGTGAAATGCTGATAAGGCCAGTCTTACATAGGTTTTGGGTGGAAAATTGTAGATTTGGTTGGAAATTCAGTTTCTGTTAGCCACAGCAGAAGGGGTAGAGCTAAATGGGGGCTGTTCTGTTCCCTTCTGCAGATTAGATGGTTTGTAATGCCATTAGAGAGCTGTATTCGAGCGATGTGCATGAGTGTGTGTGTATGTGTGAGAGAGAAAGAGAGGTGTGTGTGTGTGTGTGTGTGTGTGTGTGTGTGTGTGTGAGAGAGAGAGAGAGAGAGAGAGAGAGAGAGGTGTACATCTTACACCTGCTGGAAGGTGCTGTGCACTAGAATCCCATGGGCCCCAGAAGACATCATGAGAGAAACAGCCCAGCCTCCTTTAAATAGATAGGCACTGTAAGTTCTGTCCTCCCACTGAGATTTTAAAAAAGGAATAGGAACAGTGACATCAGAAAGTGGTATAGATCTCTTCTACTAGGAACCAGCAACCTCATCCAAGTTAGCTGAGAAAATCCATTTGGTTCAGCATTTATTTTATAAAAAGCTACATTCCATATTATAAATTACATTACTTAGAGTTATTAGTGTTTTAGAACACATATCATTTGGGCAACAGCATCTCAAATAGTATTGTTATCATCAGTTGTATTTCTTCCTCTTAGAGAATGTTTTAGAATGTTGGAAAAGGGCAAGAATGTAGACATACATGTAGTGATGAAAAAAATAAAAATAGTAGGTCTGGTTTTGAAGAACTGTATTATTGGCCCTCTTAAAATTGAACTCAGGAATGAGGAAATCCTTTTTAAACAATTCAACACTAAAAAGTTAATATTTTATATTTTGTAATATCGTATACTTAACACATATAATGTTAAAGTAACCGTTGATGGTGGATTTTAACACAGTTTGCACTTGAGGAAAAATACCAGACTCTCCATGAAACAGAGGGCCCCACATGTGGTCTTTTGACTTTTCCTTTCCAAAGGTCTGTTTTGAAATTAAGTCTTAGAATAGACTGTTCATGAAAACACAGACATAGAAAATGTATATGCTTAGTTCAAACAGATGTGGGGTTGAAAAACCCGGACACAGGCTGAGCTGGAAGAAAGAAGAGCTTTTGTGTATTGTTGTTGG